CTTCATTTTGGAAGTTTTTTGTTCAGACGGCCATTTTGGGTTTCTGCACGTGGCAGTATTTGTTTCTAAAGTTTTTTGTTCAGATGGCCATTTTGGGTTATTGCTTTTATCAGCCTCAGCCTCTAGGATTTCCTCCTCTGAACTAGTTGATAACTCGTTTTTCTTTGGCTCTTGTAGAGCCTTAAGGTTGTTTTTCTTTTTTAGAAATTTTGGATTTTGTCTCACTTTCAGGGCTTTTAACTTCTTCCTCACTATCTAGGGAAATAAGATCCTCTCCCTGTTCTTTTTCAATTTTTGAATCCTTGGTTAGATCTGAGGTGGCTATAGCCTCCTCCTGGGGTTGATCATTTTGCATGATCTGCTCTCCCTTAGCGACCGTAATGACAAGAGCTTCTATTAAGCTCTGAACGGATATTTTATGCTGACTAAGCTTTTGTCCCATTATTACCCGTACTTAAAATAAAACGTAAGTAAATACTTACCAGGACGTCTTCTCTTCGTCCTTCTATATTTTTCGCCGGCCTTTCTCGGGACAAGTCTCTGCTGTTCCCTTCTGGACGAGTCTCTGCCGTCCCCTTCTGTTTTTCGCTGTTGACTTTCTCGGGACGAATCTCTGCCGTTCCCTTCTGGACGATTCTCTGCCGTCCCCTTCTGTTTTCCGACGCAGTTTTTCTCGGGACAAATCTCTGCCGTCCCCTTCTGTTTTCCACCGGCTTTTCTTGCTTGCTCTGCACTGGAGCCTTCCTCAGGAGCTCTTCACTGGATCCCTAGTACCCAAGTCCGTGTTCAGGCGCCAAGTGTCCTGACCCGGGACACTCGAACAGGTTCCCTGGGGGAGGGAGTGAGAGATGGGACAAACACACACACACACAATACTAGATGCTGATCAAGTGATCTTCTTCCTCTGTCTACTTCTACCATTTATTGAGGAAAAATGGCAAGTTATATACAGCTGGTGGGCACCAATTGGTTGCCCGAAATGCAAATGAGATAGAACAACATGAACCAATCATTGATGTGGGTGGATCTCTCCCGTTGCCTAGAAACCCAACCACTTCCGGGGAGGACGGTTGGTCACCTGATTTCTGAGAAATGGTTTCAGTGAGGAAGTGAAGCCTAATGGTTTCCAAGATGGTGGATAGCTCAAGATGGCAGATAGCTCAAGATGGCTTCCATATGCAGTGCCCTCCACACCAGCATAGAGTTAAAGGATGGTTACAAGGCTGGGGATTGGAGGAACTGGGAACATGGTCCAACGGTCCAAAATTTCACTTAGGCAAGGGTGTAAGTTCAAGAGATCATGATGAATGTCAGATAATGCATATGCTAGTTAGTTTGAGGTAGTCATTTCTCAATGTACACTTACATCAAAATATCATGTTTTCTTTCTACTATATGATTCATATGAAAGCACAGGCTTTTAACGTCATGTTTTGATATATCATGTATATCATGTTTAACTGCTGAAGCTGTAGCCCAGCTCCAGCAGCTTGGAGCACACACCAGATGCATGTCTATGTGTGCCCCAAATCCCAACAGAATAGAGAAAGGGAAGAGAAAGGATTTTGATATGACAATGCTCCATTGTGGGTGCTTTCTCCCTCTCCCTCTCTCCCTGTCTCTCTGTCTCTGTCTCTGTCTCTCTCCCTGGTAAATGCACGTGCTCTCTAGTAAATTTAAAAATAAACATTGTATTGTACATCAGAAATATATACAAGTCTTAGATGTTAATTAAAAAGAATACTAATCCAAGAAGAAAGCTTTCCAGGACATGAAGAAATGAATTGAACTGAATAGAGATGGCTATAAAACTTATAAAATTGTGGGACAAAGCTAAACTATTGATGATAGGAACATTCATATCGTTAAACTCTTCCTTAGACAAAGGAAAAGTATAAAAGCAAAAATCTAACCTTGTAATAAATTGGAAGAGGAAGAGCAAAACAAAGCCTAAATAAGCAGAAGGAAGGGAAAAAGGAAGGTACCCACAGTAATCCACAGTATGGAAAAGAGAAGAACAACAGAAACAAAATGAAACAAAAATTGGATTCTTTGTAATTAATCTCTCTTCTGTTGAATTTCCTTTGTTACTATGGTCTGATCTTTCTGTTTAAATTCTGGAAGTTAACATTCAACGTTATTATTGATCTTTCCAGACTTGTCTCTACCATTAATTTTGCCATTCTCTTGGCTGTTTTTTGTACTCTATTTCTGTGTTTCTGACTTTAGTTTTCCTGGTGTAGCACTCCCTTCAGAGAGCTGTGACTGCAGTAAGCTATAAAGACCCAGCTAGGTGCTACTTTATAGTATGTTCATTCTACTCACCGAGGTTTATTCTTTTTTTTTTTGGAGAGATTTTCACTGTAGGGCGCGTGCGCAGTAAGCTATAAAGACCCAGCTAGGTGCTACTTTATAGTATGTTCATTCTACTCACCGAGGTTTATTCTTAAAGTCAGACATGTGTTCCTAGATATGTATATATCAGCTGCACTTGTTATTGAAAGTATTTAGATTAATTAAGATCTGTTGTGAATCAATAAAATGTGAAAATAAAAGGCATGGAATGCAACCATAGATGCCAGAGACAGTGTGGGAAGAGGGGAGCGAAATGCTAGAGGGTGAGAGGTAGGAATCAAGGTGGGAAAAAAAAAGCAAACCAAAATACGTAAGAAACAAGAAATGGAAAATTGTTTTTTGATGATAACACGTGTAGTAATATCCTTGATTGAGCCAATATACAGCGTATTCTGGATGAAAAAAAATTCTCATTTTGTATACTGTAATGATGTACAGAGAATGAATGTAAATAAATAAATGTTTCTCAAGGACACATGAGAATTTTATTTTTGTTTAACCATAAACTTGCCAACTTCTTAATGAACAGCATTACTCTTCTTTTTTTTTTTTTTTTTGGAGCGATTTTT